GTCGGGTTTTTACCTAGACGGTACACTTGTCGGGTTTTTACCTAGACGGTACACTAGCCCTCCAGCCTTGAGCGTGTAGGGCGAGAAGGCTTTGCTAGATAGAGGGTCGGCTTAGCCATTGCCGACCTGTCCCTTGTTAACCCCATGGTCGGAATCCGGCCTAGACCGTACACTAGCCCTCTAGCCTTGAGCGTGTAAGGCGAGAAGGCTTTGCTAGATAGAGGGTCGGCTTAGCCATTGCTGACCTGTCCCTTGTTAACCCCATGGTCGGAATCCGGCCTAGACCGTACAGATTCTATTAGAGTTTCAAAAATACCAAGTCCTCTTTACTACGCATGTTCCGAAATTCGAGGTTGTTTTCGGTATAAGCAACTGGCGAAGATGAATTGACTAACATGATCAAATTACTTTAAGACGAGTTTCTTTTTAGTGTTTAAATTCAATTCAACTCATCCAAATCCGTTCATATACATGTTGGATAAGGAGTTTTGATTTTCAATGCAACCCACACCAACTCAACTCTTAAATATGATATATTATTAAATTATTGTATATATAATTATATATTTTAAAATGAAAGGCTAGATTACTCTTTTGTTTCTTCATTTTATTTAATTTGTTCATTTGCAATAGGTTTATCTATTATTGAAAAGTTCCGTTAATTTTTTAATTTTTGAAAATATTCAATGTGATATTTTATGTTTAATTGAGATTAACAACGTTAATATTTTTTACATGTGACATAATAAAAAAAAAGTGTATTATCATATATGTATAACAATTTAACTTCACTATTCGTTAGTCTCAATTAAACAAAAATGATCATATTGTATCATTTTTAAAAAATTAACAGATTAAATTGAAATTTTTTGATAATAAAGAGATCAAATTAAATTAATTGAATAAAACAACAGAACAAAAAATTAATTTAACACAAAAATACAAAAGTGTTAACTTTACTACAAACTACATCTCAACGGTATTTGTTGGACAACAGCATACTTGTACGTTTTGTTGGCTATCAATTATTATATGGTGGAATAAGGTCTAAGCATATATAATATTCAATTTGTAAGTTGTAATGGTGAGTAATATTTAATTTGAAAGTTTTGTTTCGTTGTTTGTTTTCATAGATTTACCAGCAGATTGGGTTATTTCTCTTGCTAGATTTAATATATATATATATATATTTA